ATTGGAGTTAGTATTGATTTATTTCAGCAAATCAACTTGTGAGAGAACTCAAAAAAGTTGATGATAAAGATGTTATTGTTGAAGTGCAACTTGAGGAAAGTAAAGCGTGCTATCATCTCGGCAATCTTTCTAAGGTTTTGTTCACATCTTTTCAAGTGTGATGTTTATATCGATTCGGTAGTGAATGCTTAGCTAATGTTATCTGTCATAGCAATGCTTGTGACTGCTAAATTCTTGAAAGCGAAGAAGATGCATTGAGTACGTTCTGAACACTGAATGGTTTTCGCGATTGTTCGCAAGCAACAGATATAATTGTAAGTATTACAGTTCAACTTTCATTTATATTTAGGCAAGAGCCGCTCTAACCTCAGCACGTACAACGGCGAACTCAATCTATATGCCACCACGTATGCAGGCAGCACTTGACATGCAATCTGGAATACTTCATGCAGCAGATGAACGTGATTTCAAGACTGCATTCTCATATTTTTATGAAGCATTCGAGGGTTATGATACTGTCAGTGATAGAGCTGATGCTATAAGGGCATTGAAGTATATGTTACTTAGTAAGGTGTGTTTCTTCATTCAGTCATTGATTTCGATTGAAAACTATATATTCATGAAAACAAGTCATAAAAGTCGGCAGAGCTTGTTCGATAATTTAACTAGTCTCATTCGTTTGTCGACTGAGTTGTATCAGATTATTTTAATGAGTGAAATGTGTTAGTCGATGGGAATCGTGTTTTTTGAAATGATCTGAGTAATCTTTGCAATATTCTCATTCGCGATTGAATATTCGGCATATGGCTCTATCTCTTAATATCGCAATTTATTCAAGCTGTTGTTCAATCTCAGGTGATGTTGGATGCACCCGAAGAAGTTTCAACGATTTTGTCGGCCAAACTTGCACTCAAATATAGTGGTTCAGATTTGGAGGCAATGCGCGCCATTGCCGAGGCTGCGAAAAAGCGATCTTTAGCCGATTTCAATGCGGTTTGTCATTTTCTCATTTGCCGTTTCTTAATTAGACTGAAATTTGTGATGAATGCCTTTATTATGGAGTTATTAGTATCGGGTGAATAATGTGATTGTTTGATCGAGTGATGATGTGATAACATTTTTTAGGCATTTGGTCGTTATCGAGAAGAGCTTCAGTGCGATGCAGTTGTTAAGAAGCATTTTAATTCGTTGAGTGATAGTATGCTGGAAAAGGATTTGTGTCGTATCATCGAACCGTACTCTTTCGTTCAAATATCGCACATCGCATCCCAAATTGGTCTTGATAAAGAAAAAGTTGAAAAGAAACTATCACAAATGATACTCGACAAAAAATTTTCTGGTTAGTTGAATCTTCTTATCATTTTTGTTATTAATATTCATGTAAGTTTTTGTTGCTTCGTAATTGTAAAGAAGTCTTTATTTGGATATTCTGAACGTATCACACAATAGAGTTCGATTGATAATCTCATCACTGAAATGAAACGAGTGATTCGAGGAAGTGAAGAAATATGCCATTTCAGGTAGTCTTCATCAGGGTGACGGCATGTTGATCGTTTACGACCTTGCACCCGTTGATAAGACCTATGAGAATGCTGTTGAGACAATACATGCTATGGGCGAGGTATCACTTTCTTGTTAAAATTTTAGCTTATGAAGGAAATTTCTGCTTTCATCGCGTTCACCATTTAAGCTATAATCTTGCTCTTTATTTAGCAGTGCTTCAACTGTTTCTCAAATTGAGCGTTCGAATTGCTGTTTTGACATAGAGAAAACAGTTCGTTATGATTTTTTCAACCAAAGTTAACAAGGACAAAACGTTGAGTACAATTTTCTGGTTGTTTCAATTGAAATAGTAGATAGTAAAAATTATTCATTGCATTCGGTCATGTGACAAACCCAGCAATAATGTCAATACGTCAGACGAGCAGTAATAAGAATCGTAATGTAATGAATCTTTGAATTCAGGTTGTGGATGCATTATATCAACGAGTTAATAAATTACGATGAGTATTGTTGATATTCCGATGGATTTATTGAACATTTTTGAGTAGGTGGTATTCGGTGTTCAGATGAACAGAGTTGTGTGAATGAAATTCGGTGTTATAAACTGATCGAGTGTTCGATTATTCTCAAACTCATAATGGTTTAAAATGAATGCCTCATACTTATTATGCTCGTTTTGCATCTCGTCTTTTAAATATTTTTATTTGCTTATTACCGTGTCATTAGCTCACCGTTATTGGTATTTTTAATTATTGATCGATCGGGGTGGAATTTGCGTACTTGCATTGTCATCAGAAGAACAGTTGATTAATTATTGACCGGGATTGATTTTCCCTTTTCGTTGAGTGATTTGAAAAAATGTTAAGGATACGGGTATTTATGTTGGGAATACATGATGTTTTGAAAAGNGTTAATGATGGTATTCATTCTACGTTATTTTTCTACTGTTCTTTCGTATAATCAGTATCGTTGTCAGTGTTGCGCGTTGATGATTAATTAATACCGTTCTTGGTATCACTCCAAGTGAACGTCTTTTTAGTGAGTGAAGTGTCAGAAAGTAGATGCCATAAGACGATAAACTAAGCGTTACCACTTGATCATGGTTTATGCAAACGGTAAGGCAGGCGAGTATTACCATGAAGAGTGTCTACTGATTTGTTGATTGAAATGAATGTGCATTGCTTATATGATGTAATTGATATCCGTATAAAAAGGTTTGTTTTATTGTTTGTATAGCAGTAAGCGAGGATAAAGTGATAATCTCGTTGTCGTAGTGTTTTGAATTGGTGTTGAATTTCCTTTTGAATCAATAACTTCTTGAATTTTGTTTCGGTTCTCTTCTGTCCATCGTGTGTTGTCATTCAATCTTGTTATAACTCTCCTTCGTTTATTTCATTTTTCATTTTTTGATTAATATTCATTTGGTTATTCGTTTATTTTGTCATCGATTTTCGATACAGTAGAAGTTATGTGCAGTGATGTTGTTATCATTTTATTGCTCTCTTCATGAATTTATTAATTCGCTTTGTCGAATATCGCGAAAGTGCGCTTTCCGCAGGATCGTTTCAATTGATTTCCTTAACAAAATAAAATGATTCTCATTCGACTTGGTGCGATTTGTTGAACTTCCGAGTTTTTGGTCACTAAAAGTGTGTCCAAGCGTACAGCTTACCCATTTGATTTGTTTTTACGTTTTCGTTTGATTATATATTATTATATATCTCATTATTATTATCCTCTGAATTGAATATATTTGAATTATTATGACAATGGTGTAATTATGGCTGTCAGCGATGTCAATTTTGGTGCCGTCGTATTTTGTTGTTATGTAATTGTTGCAGTTTATTACTATAACTGCAATAAGTACAAAACAATAATACAATAACTTGTGTGCAACTTATCGTTTTTACATTCCTTGCGTGCAATTATGCGAACTTCTCGTAGCGGCTATTGGGATATGCACGATTTCTGCCTACTGGAAGGANTGTGTGTCATAAAGTGAAATTTTCAAAGCGCCGAAGTCATGATGAAGTATTGCTGGTTTTGTGTCAGAGTTGTGAATATCGAAGTGAATTAATTGATGCATTATTCATTTTCAGGTGTGGTTAGAGGTGCATTGTAAGTTGGTTGTGTTATTGTGTTTTTTCTTAGCGAGCGATACGAATATTCACTAGTGATTCATCATTGAATTAATTGGTTGATATCGAGTTATCAGTTATTATACAAACCAATTTCTGCATGTCGGCAGTCGGCTATTGCCCATGGTCTGTGTCTGTGTTCCATTTCGTATTTATGCAAATTTCTTGATGTGATTAATGCGGTTCATCAAAATTTTCATTACGAAACAAGTATACGTGTACTATTATTATTCATTCTGAGTAATGCTAACGCAACGCACGAGAGAGTGCATAAGGCATTTTTTGTTGGATAGTTAATTGCAACGTTGCATTTAATTGGGTGTTGACTTAATGCATCTATTTCAGTATCCCGACTACTGATGTCTATGAGCATAACGCCAATTTCGATAGCACTCGCTTCAATTGACCGCACACTACGTACAGCAAATATACAGTTTGCCGATAGTTGTACACAGTTTTCTGTTGATTCGGTTTCTTTTTGCATCGTTTTTGGGTGTTTTATTCTTGTCGTAAATCTGTCGATTGTAGAATTGCTCTGTCTCAACGCATATCCTTTGTGATGTTATCGCTCTTTTTGAATGTGAAAGTATTCTATAGTGTTGAAGAGTAAGCAATGTGATCATCTCAAAGTGCTACTTATCTTTATCAACTATGAATCGACTCTTCGAAAAAAGTTAATCTTATCCAATTATTTCAGCATTTTTTGCGCAACTTATTTGGGGCGCGTTGCTGTAGTGAGAGCGGTGAAGTGGATCGTGAAGTGTGGTGCATTCTATTAGAAGGAATAATATCGGGTAGTGATCAGTTATCATCATATTTTACGCAGTCATCACCATTACACTCATCAAGTCCCAGTGCAGTACCATCAAATAGCACTAATAGTAGCAATAATACCAGCAGTAATACCTCATCAAGCCAACCTCAGTCACAAGCGACATCTGCAAACACATCCTTAACACCATCCAGCTGCAGCAGCAGCAATCCTCTTCGACTCAGACGCAACTTCTGTGCTTGTCTTCTGAAGCAGGTCCTCATTTTCCCATTCATTTCGTCTCATTTCATCATCAAGGAACCGTTCGACCTTGCGAGTCGGCACCGTTATAATTATGAAAATGTGTGCTCATTGAAGTAATTTCTCGACTGATCGCTGGATTTAAATATGCATGATGTGGATTATGTAATTGTGAAAATTTTCTTCAAAGGGCTCTATTCTTATCTTTTTTCTTCAATTTAATCATCTGATGGCGTTGTAAAGAATGGAACTTCTCAAATGTCAAATGTAGTTAATTGAATCAGCATCGGCATAAAACTGAGTGAGTAGTGTTAATGAGAGCATGCCTCAGTGACTGATTACATTTCAGTTGATACAAGGTTGCGTAAGCGATCCATCAAAGTCGTCAATACGTCGTTTCTACATATTCACTGACGTGCTGGAAGAGCGTGTTTATAAGATTCGTTCGGGTCAATACGCAGAGTTTGTTGAGACGTTGTTGACGAAGGAACTTTCGTTATCGATCATCGTCGAGTGCTTAATCGAGATACTTATTATCATCTCATCAGTTGCATCGAACGTCATCCAATCGTTATCACAACATCTGAAGACACGTCTTGAGGCACTCATTGAGACTGCCAACAGTTCGGGTGATTTTAGTTTATTTTCAGTGTTTGTGATATGCCAGCTTTTGTATGGCGTTCATTATTTGTGTTTTGCACTTATCTAAAATAGTTTTTTTTTGTTTTCTTTTGAGTAAATTAATAATTTTGATGAATGAAAAATGTATTTTAGAGGATAAGTCACTATTCGACTGTCCAATCTCAGCTGAATTCACACATCAGCTGTTCGCGACTTTCACCTCATCATTACTTGTTGATATCTTGACAACTGATCATCATACTGCTGCCGACGTTTGCAGAATCCTCGAAAAAGGTGAATTTCGAGTCGTAACTTTGCAGTCATATTTTCTGTCATTTTCGAGATATCGTTTAGATATCACGTTTATTGCATTTGCAGAGGTGAGTGTAGGAAAAGAAAAATATGAAATGTATTAGGCAGTTGTACTACTTGATGGATTACTGAATGTATGTGCAAAGAGAACAGAAGGCGAATTGTTTATTGTTATTGCAGTATTTGTATGAGAATGAGTGCCTTAATGATAATTGATATTAAGGGTTGACTTCTTCATCTCAGCTAGCACCATTGCATTCACTGCTCAAGATCGCATCAGAATCATCGATCAAATCGACCGGAATTGTGCCTTCCTCAAACTCGGAACGTTTAACAGCCACTGACTTCATCGACATCGAAGACAAAGATCTTGAATCAGTCATGGAAACACTCGCTAATCAAAATCCTAATCTACTTGCTCAACAGATACAGGTGTGTGAA